TCATCCCAGGAGGCATACCTGGGAGGTCGACAAATGCCTTTGATGTCGACCGCAGAGCGTCCAGACTACTGCGCTGAGCCGACAAACAGCTGATTGGCTCAGCGCGGCAGCCATGTAAATTTAAATGAAGCGGCGATTATTTAAATCGCCGCTTCATTTTCCTATGCCGGGTACTCTAATCTACATGCCTCTGGCAACAGAGGCATGTAGTCTAGACGTACCCTTGGTTAGAATTAAACAGGCAGAACCCTGTGTAACCTCCATTGTGGTGAAAGGTAACAGCAAGGGGAGTCTCAAGGACATTCTTCAACCTGGAGAAATAAAAATACATGGATGCAGCAAGAGGCACACCTCAGTGTTGAACAAAATGGATCCACAATCTATTATGCATTTTCACACACAGAGTAAATTCACATTAACTGATGCTGCCTGTACTAATTAGGATAGAGCGCTAAGAAGTCTGTGTGCTACTATACTATCTCTACACCTTCTTTTTAGTCAGATGCTTGAGCCAGTCAGAAGGCAATGTTTCATTTCAGCTGGTTTCCATGCCCTGAGCAATAGTGACAGACCAATCAGATGTCCTATAAGATCAAATGTCTTGCCTCTGCAATGCCTTCATCTGCCCCAGTTAGAAGGTCCTATTTAGTCAGACATCCCTCCAGCCCAAAGAGCCATTCTGGGGTCGGTCAGGAAGCAGTTGTGGGTCTGATTGACCTTCTGCGTGGTGCTGACCAGACCAAAAAAGCCTTGAAGAACCACAGGGTAAGTTTGATGATATTCTTCCTCAGTTATAAAAATGGTGGCTACCTAAAAATGAGACACAATGGCCTTGATTCCCAGGTGCACCACAACAGTGTCATGCTCACCTAGGGGACATAGGTGACTTAATATCACTTTCCTGCACCCCCCACTTCCTGATCATCAGATCTGTCAGGCCTATTCTGCTGAGAATTTCCCTAGTATAGGCTATTTCTCAGGGGCTCCAGGCATCAGCTGGGGCTGATTCTAACCAGAGTCACTCTAAAGGTGTGTCTAGACTACAGGTTTTTTTTTTTTTTTTTTTTTTTAAAGTGGCCTTTTTTCTAAAAAGCTTCTCCTGCATCTATACTGCTGCCGCGTTCTTTCAAAAGTAAACCGAAAGAACGTGGCAGTTTTTTTGACAGAGGAAAACCTTCTTTTACGAGGAATAACGCCTTTTTTTGAAAGTGCTTTTTCGAAAAAAGGCGCTATGTAATGCAAACTGTGCTTTTTCAAAAGAGAGCATCCAGACTGCCTGGGTGCTCTCTTGCGAAAAAGCGGCTTGCTTTTTCAAAAGTACTGGTTGTATCTTTCGAAAAAGCCTCTTTTGAAAGAGGACGGCAGTCTAGATGTAGCCTAAACGAACAAGGAAGATCACTGTTTTCAAAATAGGAAAGAAAAAAGCAGTTTCTATTAAAACATGGGTTTACTATGGAGCACTATTAATAACATTAGGGTCAAAATGGTCTTATAAGCCTGTATTCGAAGAAAAATAAAATAAATAAGGGGATTCCTTATGATTGGTTGCCAAAAATGGGACTTTCACGGCCTTCTGACGTTTTGGTAGCTGTTGCTGAGGAATACCAAAAGTGGCCTTCCACTTTGCTGAGGTCATCATATGGAAAAAGGAGGTAAAGCTAGACCTGAGTTGTGTAACTGTTACTTGGATTGTCCTAACAAGTAGAGAGCAGGTTCTACAACTAACAGAATTATAAATCCAGTACTACAGAGGAATGTCACAATACTTATATCATTTCACATCCCCTAGAGCTGGGTTTCTGAAAGTGTTCCACGGAATCACTTAGAGAAACACATTCACTGGCCGCCTCAGTTTGTTTATGTACCGGCGCAGCGGCCACAGAGCCTCGCGGCTCCCATTGGCTCTGTTTTGTCCTTTGCAGCCAAGGAGAGCCGTGGGAAGCGACGTGGGCCAGGCCACCACCTCCTGCTGCTCCTCTTGGCTGCAAAGGACAAAACAGAGCCAATGGGAGCCGCGAGGCTCTGTGGCCGCTGCGCCGGTACATAAACAAACTGAGGCGGCCAGTGAATGTGTTTCTCTAAGTGATTCCGTGGAACACTTTCAGAAACACTGCCCTACAGTGAGATGCTGTTTAGATGGAATGAAGGAAAAATTCTTCCCTTTTTCATCTATGGAAGGCCATTTCCAAAACACAGGCTGAAGGCATTAGACTGAATAGTCAGTCTTCTATATCTAGGTAGGCGTCTCACAAGGATGATATGCTAAAAGGCATTCCCCGCCTTTCAGAAAAACTGTAATGGCACCAAACATATGATTTTTTTATTCCCTTTTCCAAGCCCTCCAGGAGTTATTGACTGCGCCCATAGATGGCGAGGAGCTATCAGATAGCTGTCATTTAGCTTATAAAAAGAAAATAATCTGGAACTGCGTATCTCATTTATGTTTCTTCTAATGTTTGCACTTCTGCTATGTGGGGTTCCCTCACTGCTTGCGCATGAAACCTCAGACTGAGAGGCAGCAGGAGCTCCTTTAATGCCTAAAAGGCCTAACAAATACTCAAAATAATCCTACACCCCACATGAGAGATGGCATCCATAGAGCTGACGACTGCCTACCTGAGCCAGAGAGCAAGCAGCTGCTTCAACTGCATTTAGGGCCAGTTCTTCCATTACTGAGACCACAACCCTACACTTGATCTGCTGCCTGCGAGGAGACTAAAACTTACGGCTTCTGTAGTTGCTGCTGTTCTTTGGGGGGGGGGGGGTCATAGTAGTGACAGTAACCTGGACAGAGAACATTGCATTTTAGTCCAAGTTAAGCAGGATCTGACTGACAAGCAGCATATTCATTGTTACATAGCATTATAACTCTTCTTTGCAATGGCTTGTTACTAAGACTTCCCAATTTGGGGTCAGCACTGAACCCATCTGTTATACAGGCCTCCTCTTCCCATCCCAAACCGTAGGGCAGCTTTGCTCTGTGCTGTTCGGCAGCTGGCATGCTCCAGCCCTGAGGCGCCTGCATTGGAGGGCTCAGAGCAGTAACGGTGGGTGGTGCTGTGGATTTGTGAGCGAGGGGCACTAGAAAACCGCTGCCAACGGCAGAGCTAGAGCAGTGCTTAGAACTGCCTGCCCTTTGCCTCCTGCGAGGGCTTTGGTGTGATGCTGCCTAGGGGTGTTCATAGCTCGGCTAGATCTGCCCCTTAACCATGGCTGCCAGTTTGGGTGGGCATTTTGGGGTAGATCAGGCTGCTGAGTTTGGCACCCCCACACCCAGCTGTGTTCCCTTCAACCTCACCATGTGAGGTTTAAGGATGGGTGATACAATCTGAATTAACATTCAAATCTATTTTAAAGTGTGTCAGTTTTAAAATTTGTCAGTGTAAGGAACTTGATGCTTAGATTCATGTTTAAATATAATTTAAATAATGTATCATAGAACACTAGAACTAGAAGGGACCTTGAGAGGTCATCAAGTCCAGTCCTCTGCCCTCACGGCAGGACCAAGCACCAGCTAGAACATCCTTGACAGAAGCCTATCTAACCTGCTCTTACACATTTCCAATGATGGAGAGTCCACAACCTCCCTAGGCAATTTATTCTAGTGCTTTACCACCCTGACAGTTAGCAAGTTTTTTTGTAATGTCCAACCTAAACCACCCTTGCTGCAATTTAACTCCATTGCTTCTTGCTCTAATGAAATTACTCTCTATGCTTAGAACAGTATTGCTTAATGGTTTTTTTTAAAGAGTAGCGATTGAGGCAACGTTAATTTTTTTCTCCCCCTAAGAGATGTTTTATCTCTCTAAATGGACTTTCCACAGGACATCATGCTGGGTTTCCTTTCAGGGGAGATCTTCTGGGCTCCTAGGGCTTTTCTCCTCCCAGATGCAGGGTGCAGTGGGGTGGGATGGAAAGGCTGGCATCTCCTAAGCCCATCCAGTTTGGGCACCGAAAAATATAGATCACTCAGGCTATGTCAAGAGATCTTCTGCAAAAACTTCTTGCACATAAGTGCAACCACATTGCAAAAGCACATAGAAAAAGCGATGCACTTTTGCGAAAGTGAACGTCCAGACTGCATGAATGCTCTCTCAAAAGTAGAATAGTAATAGAGATGTAGCCGTGTTAGTCTGATCTTGCTGACACAAAAGAAAGGACTATGCAGCACTTTAAAGACTAACAAGATAGTTTATTAGGTGATGAGCTTTCATGGGCCAGACCCACTTCCTCAGATCAAATTCTGGAAGAGAAATGGCACAATCGAAAGTAAGCACTGATTGATATACAATGGCTACTGGAGCACCTGTGCTTTTTCCTCTTTCTGTGCAAAAACCCACTCTTCCCCGTCCACACGTGCCTTTTTGTGAAAGAACTCTTTTGCAAAAAGGCTTCTTCTTCATAGAAAGAGAAATACCAATCATGCAAAAACCCCTCTGTTCTGTTGATTCTCTTGCGCAAAAATGCACTTGAGGTATGGATGCTCCGCGAGTTTTTGTGGAAAAACAGCTGTTTTTCCGCAAAAACTCTGTAGTGTAGACATAGCCTCAGAGGCTACAGCAGCTACAGCTTCAGAACTTGTTGGACACCACGGTTCTATGGTCTTAACCAGAGCATGGGAAATGCTCCATATAAACAAATCTACTGTATAGACTAGAGACAAAACATTCTAGCATCTCATAAACAGAAGGTACATGCTATCTCTGGGGAATTTTAAAAATTAATTTTAGCCTATAAGAATGATTTGAAGCACAGGAAAGGATCTTTGTAAGGACTGTTCAGTGTGGAAAGGATAAAAGTAAGCCAAAGTAGGAAAAAGATATATAAAATAAGGAAGTTTAGAGAAAGCAAGTCACATGCTTTTTATATGCCTTTTCCAGCAATTCAGGAACAAAAAAGGTGCTCACTGGAAGCTAAAAGGCAGAAAAATTGAAGCTGAAAAAGAAAAATATTTTGTGCAAACTGCAAAGAGAATTCACTGTTGCAAGATTTTATAGAATGGCTTAGTGAGAATGAAAAATAATTAGACACTTCTATGAACTAGTTAATGTATAAAATTATGACTATCAACTTATTTCCTGAAGCATGAGGATACGGAACAAATTTTCCAATCCTGGTATTAGGTATGTGAAAGACTCGACTATCATTGGATAATCCACAGTCTAGTCGACTAGTCGCTTCCCCCCAGCCCTTGCTGCCTCTATAAAGAAAGAAGCAGCAAGAGGGGGAAAGAGAAGGGGTACTTCAAAGTGGCAGCACTACATGGAGCCCGGGGTTTGGTCCCAGGATCCACATGGTGCTGCTGCTTTGAAACACCATGTGCACCAAGCTCCATGCAACGTTTCAAAGCGGCAGCTCCGCATGGAACCAAGAATCAGCTGGAGACTCCTTCACTGACCCGGGGCTCCACGCAGCACTGCCGCTTTGAAACACTGCATGGAGCCTGATGCTAGGCTTCCCACAGTGTTTCAAAGTGGCAGCGCCACACGGAGCCTGGGGTCAGCAGGGGAGTCCCCAGCTGACCCCGGGCTCCACATGGTGCTGCTGCTTTGAAACACTGTGGGGAGCATGGGGCCAGTGGGGGACTGCCCCGCAGACCCCATGCTCCCCGCAACACTTCTGCCTTTGAAGCCCTAGGGGCTGTTGCTACACTTCAAAGGCAGAGATGCCCTATCGATTAATCAAATAGTTCGTGCAAATTGCATTGACTATTCGATTAGTCAATTACTCGAAATTTAATATCCTTACTTGGTAGAGTATAAAACTGTTGAGCAAGTGCCTTAAAAGGAGTTTAACCCTTCCTTTGAACCAGCTAGCACTAATCACTATCACATTCAAGATGCCAGAGTAAATGAACCAGTGGTCAATTCTGGTAAGGTAACTCCTTTCTAGTACATATACCACATTATTTATTACCTTTGATCTTGCATGAATTTATATTTAGAAGGCCACTGAGCACAGAAGAGGCAGGGATTTGGATATGATTTTTGTTAAAAAGGGTTCCAGTTTTATTTGCTTTTTACAATCTAATGTCCCACTTAAAAAGTCTGTTTAGCGCATTCTCTAATCTGTCCCAGTTAGAATATAAGCTTTAAAATGTTTTCAGGACTGTCAAGTTCTTGTTTAGTGAGCATTAACTATGAAGAAACCAATTTCCATCTCCATTAGAAATGCAAGGAAAGAAACATTTGCAAAATACGTGAGGACAAAATTAGGAAACTATTCAGTAAGGGCCTGATACAAAATACACTGAGCTAAACGGAAAGACACCCACCAATTTCAATGTAGACTATGAGATCACTAGGGTAAGGATTGTTTTTCTTCTATGTTTGTTCAGTATCAAGCACAATGGGACACCAATCATAATCAGGACTTTATCATAATATTAATATTTATTAATACTAAATAGGCTTTACATCAGGCCCTAAACTACTATAAAATGCAAATCAAATCAATCATTATAGAAAGCAATGCTATTAAAATAAGTTGACTAGGGTTCTTGGATTAGAATATACTTTTCCTCAGTAAAAAGTTTTTCAGTGACATCACATACAAAACACCATTTTTAAAACCTAAATGCTCAACTCCCAAATTTCTGTGCTCGTGAAGGGAGCTAGGTGTTTACACACAGTCTTTATGCTCCTAAATGCTGATTTGTATATCCAAAGATAGGGTTTTGGATATCCTTTAAAAGGTACCCAGATTTTAAAACTGGGCTTACATTTAATGTATGATATTTGGGCTTTATTCAAAGAGCCTCAATTGCTATTTTAAAAAAAAACCTCTCTGCTCTGCACATATTGTCTGCAATGCATAGATGGTAGATTCCTTTTGTACACATACAGCTTCCTACCCAACTGTTCTTTCACACAGTAAAGTGCAAATGAAATAAAAAATTCAAACCACTCTTATTAGTTGAATCCTGCAGCCCATCACCAGAACTCCTCCCTTGAGCAAGGACTCTAGGATTGGGCTCTGTGTAGAGTAAGCCCGCAGCCAGGCACAGAAGGATGTTAGTAATCCCATTTGAATTTAACACAAATAAATACAGAAAACCAAACTGAAACCTAAGCATTGTGTTACCTTTGAACCATGTTTGAAACTGATGATAAAAAGCTGTCCATTCTTTTGGAAAACATCTCTGCTCCCTTCTTAAAAAAGTTAATCTGAAAAATAGAATAAGGGTATTCTGGAAATTATCTAAGAAAGGTTTGACAATCAAATAATGGATGGGGGGAGAGGAGGGAACAGGTGCTGAAATAGGCCCTGTGGTGACTGAGGTCAGAGTCTGTTTTTCAAATCTAAGGCCTTATTAAAACACCAACCTTTCCTTCCTACCTCTTTTCCTCCGCCTCTCAAAAATAAAGTTCGGTGGCTACAGACAGTTGAATTGCAAATAAACTTGTTAGCGGGCCTGAAGAGCCATGTCACCCTCTTCCATCCTCCAGATTTGTGAGCATTGTGCAGAACTCAGTTATGTGGCAGTACACACTAATCTGCCCCAGACTGCTACATAAACAGGGGCCAGGATTTTACCCTTAAATATGTTTATTAGGCCAGGTCTACATCAGGGATGTAAAGATGTGCGATCCCTAACCAACACAACTGTGGCAGCAGAAGCCCCTACTGTAGATGCAGTTATACCAATAAAACTGTGTGTTTACTAGTGTAGCTTGTTTCACTGGGGTAGGGCGTGAGAGACTGGAACTAACTATATTGGTAAAAGCGCAGTTTTGCTGGTATAAGCTGTGTCCATACCAGGAGCTTTGCTGGTACAGTACACCCATATAGTTATATCACCTACGTACTCCTAGTGTTGGCATGGCCTGAGATGACCCTCACTGGCATCTGTGTTCGTAAACCAGTTGTAATCAGATGATCGCTATGGAAGACAGGGATAAGGGGCAAGGAAAACAAATCCTACCCATTCTGACTGACCGCTCCTCCTAAGCAGAGTTTAGTGAGGCTATTTTAGTTAGCAGCTCTTGCGTGAGATGGTAACACATAAAACCTATTGTTAATTCACTACTAAACAATCAAACACCATTCATGCATTAACTATGTGTTCATGTTATATCCCATATCTTTACTTACACCCATCTCCATGCACATGAAGAAGCTATCACATATAGACACTAACAGTTGCTCCTCTCACCAAATTATTTCCAATATGCTAAGCCTGATTCTCACTCTCTCCTTGGAAACATGAAACCCAAAGTGCACATATTTGAGGTGACTGATTAATATGGATAACTTACAGTACAGATAATTGATAGGCACTTTGCAGCATCTTATAAGTCTACTAGAATACTCACCTGGCATTGCCTAGGTTCTTCAGGGCAAGAGGCTGGCGGTGTGGGGGAGTGCAGGAATCAGGGCAGGACCTGGAGGATGGGGAGGGGGGAGGCAGGGAGCCTGGGAGGTACAGGAATCAATGTGGAGGAGATCAGGGCAGTGGGCTGGGAACGTAGGGGGAAAGGGAGGAATGAGAGTTGGGGGGGGGGTTAGGAGGGGCTCCACATCTGGCAGGGCCTTCTTTCACCCCCCCCCCCCATGCTGTGGCCAATGACTGGGCGGGGAAAAGGGTTCGGGGCAGGGGGACTACTTACCTGGTGTACTGGCAGGCAAGATGGCGAATCCCAGCCCCAGCTAGCCACTCTCTGGGGCTGTGTCCAGACTCAGGGGTTTTTTCGGGAAAAGTAGCCTTTTCCCGAAAAAACTTCCCCTGCGTCCAGACTCAAGCCGCGTTCTTTCGAAATTAATTTGAAAGAACGCGGCTTTTCTTTCGATGGCGGTAAACCTCAATTTACGAGGAAGAACGCCTTCTTTCAAAAGTTCCTCTTTCGAAAGAAGGCGTTCTTCAATGTAAATAGGGCTTCTTCGAAAGAGAGCATCCAGACTCACTGGATGCTTTCTTTCGAAAAAGCAAGCCGCTTTTTCGAAATTTCTCCATGCAGTCTAGACGCTCTCTTTCAAAAGAGGCTCTTTCGAAAGAGGCTTGCAGTCTAGACATAGCCTTGGTGGTGCAGCTGCCTTTTGCAGGATAGCTCTCCCCTGCACTCACTTCCCCCAGTGGTGACTGTGAATATCACGTCACCATTCTCTGCTCCTTCCCCTTCCATAGTATGGAAAACAGTTCCATTCCAGGGACTTCCCATTTTCCTGGCAAAACCAAACACTGACCTTGCTTTAAGTTAGGAGAAGATGAAGCTGCATAACAAATTTTGTGGTCCTAGCTCAGTGGTCTTCAACCATTTGGAGCTGCCGGGCGCCAGAGGGCAGGGACACTTGCGCGCCCGGGGGCGGGGCCGTGCATACGCCACACCCCTATGAGCCACGTGCCTGGGGCCCGCATCCCCATGCGCCACGTGGCCACGGGCGGGGCCGCCCATTCGCCGCAAGCTTGGAGCCGGCACCCTCCAGATCCGGCACCCCCCCATAGCTGCGTGCCCGGGGGCAGGGCGGCCAATTCGCTGTGCGCCTGGGGCCAGCGCTCCCCATGCGCCATGCACCCGGGGCTGGCACCGCGCATGAGCCACGTGCCTGGGGCAGGGCCAGCCCCGGGCACTTGGTGGGCACACACAAATGCCCCGCCCGTGGGCATCGTGTTGGGGACCACTGTCCTAGCTTTTACCGTTTAGGAGGAATTCTTGAACAAATGGACTCACAGACAGACAGACACACTCTAAAATATATAGAGTTGGCTTCTGGCTGGCCTGGCTCTTTGCACTGCCACAGAAACAAGACATTACCACGTAAGGCACCCTACATCCATGAATCCAGCTTGGCCCTTAGTTTCTATACAAGCAGATGAGTGGGAATGACTTGTGTTATTTTGCAGAGATGCCACAGTGGTTACAGAAGATTGAAACAGGCAAGGGAAGTGCTTGCTGCACCAGCCCAGGAGGAGAAACGAAGAGGAAATACTACTCACTCTAGACAAGAGGGATCACCATTTGTTTTTAGCCATGGAAAAATCCCCTGCTGTGATTGACACCTGTGCCAAGAATACACTCCCGCTACTGGGGTAAGGGCGGGTGGAGAATTCTTAGGTTACCCCCCCTTTGCACAGGTGGAGATTATTATACCTCTGGAGCCAGGAGCAGGGCTGCAGCTCTGCAAGGCGGAGGTGGGGAGAGGAGATGCAGACAGGGTAAGGGAGCCAAGGCTGGGGCATAGCAGAGGGTGGGGGCAAGGGCGAGGTCACGGTCAAACCTGCACTCAGGGGCCAAGGCCCCAGGCCAGCAGGCAAAGCTGGGTGGTGCTCCCTCTCAATCCTTAGTTGTGGCTGGCCCAGGCTCCAACCATGCCCCAAAACGTTCCTCCACACGCCTGTGGGGGATGTGCATAGTTTGTCAACCTTTGGTATAGAGTTATTTACACTCAGTAGTTTCAGGTCCTGGTTCTCATTTACATTAAGGACCCTTGACATCATTCTGTCAATGTGAACAGACCTTAAAATAGAGCCAAAGTGCTGTACAAATATTAATCAATGAATCCTCCCAACACGCCTGAGAAGTAGGTTTTTAGAATTGTCGTCACATTTTATGGACTTGGAAACGGGCATATTTGGCCAATGTCACACAGCAAATCACTGGCTAAGCAAGGATTAGTACATACGATCTCCTACCCTCGTGTTCAACCCACTTGATTACATGATCTCTCTTACTTTCCAACACATGTTCCGCTTCCTGTTCACACTAGACTCATGCTGAATACCTCACGCAGGGAAGTAAACTGTCACACAGGTAAGCTTATAAACACAAAGCGAACAATGACATGGGAGTAAATTTTGTTGTGATGACAGTTTAGTGGCCAGGCCAGTCAGCCCAGAATGTGCCGATTTTGCATGTGTTCTAATTTTTGTTATGAATAGCTTACTGTCCAACTATTTGACCACAAATAAAGTACAACCTGAGTGAGGCCCTGAAAAATTTGGCTTACTATGCCTGTCCTTTGAATACAGGAAGGAAATCTACAGGTTCACACAGAATAAAAATGACAGCACAACATTTTACATTATGAAAAGGTTTTCCCTATTTTCACGTGTCAGCTACCAAAACTCCTTCTATGCCGGGACAGGCAACATATGGCCTATCAGGCCACCGGATCCTGCCTCAGGCTGCCCTGCTGGGACCCTCAGGCACGGAACAGCCAGTTACTTCAGAGCAGCCCCATGTTGCTTTAAGCGGCCGGCTGTTCCTTGTGGGTCTCTGATCCAGGCACCAGGGGGAGGGGGAGGCTTCATGGAAACCAACCAATGGTAGCTGAGAGATTTTTCTAGGGGAAGGGCATAAATCCTCCCCCTCCCCTCGACACCCGGAGCAGAGAGCCACAGGAGTAGCCAGCCATTTTGAGCAGCCTGGGGCTGTGGAAGACAGTAGCCTGTCTCGGGGTCCTGCAGGGATGCTGGCTGGGAGCCAGTTAGGAAAATGCCTCCCAGCCACAGCCTGCCTCTGACACCCCAGTCCCACCCTCCCCCAAGCTCCCTACTTCAGGTCACCACCCCTTCTGTGCCAGGTCACCATCCAAACCCTCTGTACCCTACAGTTCTCCCCCCAGCCAGAATCCTCTCCTGCACCCATACTCCCCCTCGGCCCCTGCACCCTAAACCCCTGGCCCAGATCACAACCTCCTCCTTCACTCAAACTCCCTCTCAAACCCCACACTCTCTCCGGCATCCTAGTCCCCTACTCCAAGCTCCCTTCTGCACCCAACCCGTCCCAGACCCCGCACCTTCTCCATAGAAAAGTGGAGCACTTGACCACTCACCAAAATCTTGGAGTGGCCTCCCATTAAAAATTATTGCCCACCCCCATTCTATGTCATCCCAGAGACATGTCCCTTTAAGTGGTGTTTCCACTATCCTGGCTTTACTGTACATACCTGTCCTTGAGTGTATCCTAGCATAGGTTCCATCATTGCAATTCTCTTCCTGTACTGCAGTGCATTCAGGGCACAGTAATACTGTAATGATGAAAGATGCTGCTTCCTCCTTGCATTTGCCACCTCCTTCACTACTTCTGTCTTTAGCTGAATAAACATGTGTGCAGAACTTTGAATCGTATTATGGATATAGCCAGATCTTTAAATGATTATTTTCATATAATTAATTTTTTATTTTTCATTATGAGAAATAATATCTCCATGACAAGCTAAAAACAAGCATTAGAAGTAAAAACATTAAGTCAACTTATATTGGCCTTACCCAGCAACACACTGAACTGCCTCTTTAACTTTAATTGATATATGCAATGTAGATACAGCTGCGTCAGTCCCAGGGTATTCAAGACACAAGGTGGGTGAGGTAATATATCTTTTATTGAACCAATTTCTACTGGTAAAGAGAGAGAATAAAACAAAAAATTTTTTTGAGGACCTGAAGAGCTCCGTGTGGCATGAAAGTCAGTCTCTCTCACCAGTAGAAGCTGATCCAATAAAAGATATTACCTCACTCATCTTGCCTCTCTTCAAACATATGAGCTTTGAGCTGTAAATAGCACAAATACTACATATTTTAAATTGAATGCGTCGGGTTATCACCTCAGTTACATCAGCACAAATCTGGAGTAATTTCATTGTATCTGAGATCAGAACTTACATGTGCATAATTCATAGAACCAATAGTTCTGTGCAAAAGTCACCATCTGCTGCATTTCCAAGCACGTCTGCTACAGGAGCTAAACACTGCATTTTGATCTGCAATGCAGATCCCTTAAATGATCTTCTGATCTCTCTAAAAGTGTCAAGTTCCCATTGTCTCAGTCTTATTTTTTGCACACCCCAGCCTCCCGATATCCCATTGACATCCCTTTCATGTGCTGTAGATGAAATGAGAATCAAAATCCAGAAACCTGCTGTGTACAATGAAGAGGAGAACGTAGTCCTTTAAGCACAGTAGGTATATGGCAATATTACATCATTTCAAATACCAGCATGCTGCAACAATAATCCTATTGTACAGCTGTGACGCGTTCGATTCCAGAGCCCCTCTTGGGACTGTAACTCAGTGCACCGATCAAGCCACTGAGTCTGCATACCTTCCACCATCCTGTCCTGTTGAGCCAGAAGCTCTAGTCTTTCCCAGCCATGGCACAAAGGTGGGGTAACAGCACCCCAGCAGAGCCACAGATGCCAGATCAGCTCAGCCTTGGAAGGGCTCAGCTACAGGGCTGTTGACATCATCTAGGAACACAGCCTCCAAAAGGGATCAAACCCTCCAAATAAATCCATCTTACTCTGTATAAAAGATTTACACAGAGAAAGCTCATAAAACTGTTCATCCCCTTTATCAGTGAAAGAGAGAGATGCACAGCTACGGCTCCCCCAGTAACAATTACTTACACTGAGCTTGACAATAAACAAAAGGCTTTTTATTAAGTATTTAAGCGGGTTTTTTATTAAGGATTTAACTGATTGCAAGTGAAAACAGTAAATTACTAAGCCAAAATAAACAAAACATGCCAGCTAACTCAAATACACTAAGAAAAATGGTCTCAAAGTATATTCCTCACCCATGTCCTTATTCACAGCCCTGGGAGCTATAAGCAGCACAATGTGCCTTTCTTGAAGCATGGAAAAAGTTCCTTCAAATTAGGCACATGCTTCAGTGCTCTTCTCAACTGAGAAGTCAATCACTGGGAGCACTGAGCTACTGTGGATTCAATCCACAAAACCTAGATTTTTTACTTTGCAAAGCTGTAGCTGAAAATAAATATGCAGGCACAGCCACTGATTAAAGATTTTCCGTACATTAAGAACCAAACTACAGTATAAGACTTTTTTTTACCTTTTCATTTTCCTTTCTTTTTGGCAATCGGCTATACTTTGCCATGGAGAGATCATGTTCTGGAAAGAAGAAAGATTTTCAGCATCATGGCATAGGTATACACACAACACATCTCCTGTGAGATAATTAATGCATGCATGCAATTAGAAAGAAACAAAAATATGAAACATACCATTGCTAGCAAGGCCAAAAAGATCCTTTAAAGTGCTTACTTCTGAAATAAAAAAAGTCAACACTTCAGAATGCGAGAGCTGTATACATTGCTTATTCAAGCAGAATCAAAACCTAACTCCCTTTATAGATACTTGAAGGATAGTTACCTAAGTAATTTTACTCCTGCACACAGAAACGTGTAACTTATGTTCATGTCTTGAAAGTAATAAATGAAGAGCAGCACTTGCAAAATATTTGCAGAGAGTCGCTGGCATCTCCTATGCCCCGTTTGTTTAATCCATTTATTCGGTTTTATCATCAATTAGATTATAAACACCTCAAGGCTAGGGATGTGAATGGGTAACTGGTTAGCTGGGTACCCAGTATCACCCTTAACCATCACCATAAACAGGTAACCATCACCTCAACGGATGATCCATACCAGGTGATGGTTAACCGGGACCCAGGAGCAGCCTCTTCCCTCCCCCCCCCAGCCATCGCCCACCATGGGTGGAGAGCTGCTTCAGCCCCGCCGGGCACATCACGCTGCAGGTTGGGGTGAGAGCTGGCCCTGTGGGACTGGCAGAGCCAGCAGCTCCCCATAGCACTGGTAGAGCCAGCAGCCCTCCGAGGGGCCAGGAGCCAGCAGCTCCTGCCCGGGATCCCACTTAATCGTTTAACCGGTTAACTGATTAAATGGGATTTTACATCCTTACTCAAGGCCAGGACTCTTTGAGTTTACCTAGTGCCTAGCACAAATGAGATCTCAATCCTAACTGGGCCCTGGGGAGCCAACTGCAATATACGTAGTTTCCACCTTCATGCTCTGCTGTGTTTTACATTACTATTCATTTCACAGAGCCACCTCTCCTCCTACTGCAAGGAATACTTCTCTTCCTCCGATGTATCACTAGGTCACATGATGCCCCACTGCCAACCCCTTGCTGGGACCTCAGGAAAGAAAGCATGGAAGGAAGCACCTGTGTAAGCAGGCAAGTAAGTTTTAGGTAAATTTGCTTTACTGCACAAGCCCTGAATATGGAAAAAGATCCTGTATGTACAGGTGTGATTTATACAAGGAACTTGCTTCTTATAAGCATAACAGCTGGCCCAACAATGAACTCCCCCAGCAACTAATGACCATCAGGAATGACTGGTCATCACAAAACTCACTATCTTGCTCCAAGTGCAAGATGCCTTTCTTTTACCATCCCTTCTCTGTCACAAACATACAGCACTGCACGTGAGTGTGTTTGTAATTAAAACAAGACACTCTGCTGTGCATTCTCCTTCTCCATCTGGGGAGAGGATGAAAACAAATGTGACATATTAATCTTGTGGCTTGATTCATTATTGGAAGGCACGCAGATACTACCATTATGAACATGTTATGAGAGCAGAATAGAAAAATGTTAGCTCTGAGGCTCCAGCCCTGAAAACACGTATGTGTTTAACTGAAATCACACAAGCAAAGGACAAAGATCTTATTTGGACATTATGTGCCCTTGCATTGATTCCTACCACAGAATTATTATAATCAACAGGCATCAGTGATGAGCCCATTAACAATCAAAATCTTAACTGCTCTATAGTGATGTCTGGAAATGAAATGTGCTGAAAACAGCATTTCTCCAAAGCACGTTTTCTTGCAATTGTACTGCAGTTGTTTTCTCTTCCAATAAAACCAGTTTAAACAAATGCAGGCACCTAAATGACGTCTAAGGTGAGCTTGGCATAGGAACTATTTATTATTAAAGTCGAGACAGAATAAATAAATCCTAGGATTCTCTTGCACATGCTGGTTAGAATCTCTCTGAATTTGCACAGCATCCTGCTTTCAAAATTATTACAAAGGTCTGTGCTGTTATTTTGCTTTGTGAACAAGGAACTTCCAATTCTGTGCCAACCTGCCATTTGGTTCTTTCCTTGGGTGAAACAGTGTTACAAGGATGGAGATCCTAAACATGAAATAACAGTGATAGAAATGTAGCCGTGTTACTCTGGTGTAGCTGAAACAAAATACAGGACTATGTAGCACTTTAAAGATTAACAAGATGGTTTATTAGATGATGAGCTTTCGTGGGCCAAACCCACTTCCTCATATCAAATAGTGGAAGAAAATAGTCACAACCATATATACCAAAGGATACAATTAAAAAAATGAACACATATGAAAAGGACAAATCACATTTCAGAACAGAAGGGGGATTCGGGGGAGGAGGGAAGGAAGGTGAATGCCTGTGAGTTAATGATATTAGAGGTGGGGAAGGGGAGATGTCTGTGAGTTAATGGTATTAGAGGTGATAATTGGGGAAGCTATCTTTGTAATGGGTAAGGTAGTTGGGGTCTTTGTTCAGCCCCCTGCGGAGAGTGTCGAGTTTTAGCATGAATGCCAGTTCAGAGGATTCCCTTTCACCTGAATTCCCTTTCTTTAAAGTGCTACATAGTCCTGTATTTTGTTTCATGAAAAAAACAGGTGTGCTTTGTAATCAGAAAAATTCTTCCTATGTTTTTCAAACCCAGGGTTCTCACAATAAGGTTCATCATTTCAGACGTTCACAAGCCAGGTGCACCGCTGCATTCCTCCAGCTTTATGTCAAGTGTAATACCACTAAATTCAAATCACATTGATATAACAATAGATCACACATTGGAGAATAAGGCCTGGTATTTTAAAAGAGGTACTGTGTGTGCTGGACTTCTCACAATAATGTCTGATAAAACATGTTCAGTCTAGCAGCAAGAAGAAAATATCAGATTTTTCTTACAATTAATATAAAAACAAATTTCTTAATGACAAATTGATCAATAATCAACCCCTTTCTATGAAATAAGTCAGGCATCAAAAGCCATTGGGTAGCCATTTGGAATCTAATCAAACTTACCTGTAAGATCTTTTTCTCGAAACTGTATGATCGGGAGAACCATTGTGTCTGCAAGTTCTTTTGCCAGCTCACAATGGAGAATGTTAAGCTGAAAGGGAAAGAAATTATCTAAAACATTGCATTGTGCATGGAGTACTACAGATACACGGTCATCAGCCTGTGAGCCATGTGTGTCTGTCCGCAGCATAGTTGTAGCCCTGGCAGCTCCAGGATATGAGAGAGGCTAGGTGGGGAGGTGACTAAATTTTATTTATTATAACTACACTGCATATAAAAATGGAAAACAAATTCAGACATCTGAAATGGAAACCCCACAGTATGAAGAAAAAGGAAACAAAATGTAACAGCGATATCTATTTCCAGAGCAAACACAAGAAACAAAATATCATCCCCAGATGTCTCATTTTCTATACCCTTCTGACTAGGGAGGATAGACAGCATGTAATTGAATAGTCATGTAACCTTATGACATTTTAGTAGTTACACAACTATTGGATAGTATGCTCCTGGCCCCACTCCTGGAGAGCCCCCACCTACCCCACACTGCTGCCTCTGTATCAGAGGCAGCAGCACAAGGCAGCGGCAGCAGTCCCAGGCAGCGGCAGCAGCCCCTGTCGACAGGGGAACAAGCTCCCCATGGACAGAGGCTACGCTGGCATCCATGGAACAGCCTTGACCACGGTGAGCCTGGGCAAGCTTGATACAGAGGCAGTAAGGTAGGGGAGAGTATATGTAGTTAACAAGATTAACCAATAAGCCCAGACTTATCAGTTAATCATGTAGTCATCTACACGTTAACATCCCTATCTCTGACCACTACATATAACTGCAAAATATGCTGAACAGCTTGGCAGAGACTTCAGAGAAATGGAAAAACCATTTACTGTACCTCACATGCCCCAAAAAGGACCACCTCAAATGAGAAATAATCACATGATCCCAAACACTGGAGTTAAAAAACAACAGGGAAAGTTACCTGGAAATCATGCAAGAAATCCAAAACAACTACCAAAAAAGCCTGATAACTACCCAACACAACAACAAAAAAATTGAACCAGCTATACATACTTCACAAGCCACAGAACACTCTCTCTGGGAGAAACATGTCAAAAGTGTCCACTACATGGACTATTCCTCACTGGAGCTGCATTAACTGTACTTTAATGGATTGAACTTCTGCCCCACCACAGAACCTGACATAATACTAACATAAGGAAAAGAAGAAGAATTCATCCACCTGTCTCTACCTCAAAGCTTTCACCAGAATGGCGACATCACTCACAATTACCACATCCCACAACTGAAGTTGGTCCAATAGAAGGTGTTATCTCAGCCCTGTTATCCTCTCCATGCATATTTCAAGTATTTGTGTTTACATTTCTCTTAGGATTTAAAAATTCCTCAGGGAACCAGTTATTGGGCCAAATAATGCCAGATTTGGTGGTTGCATGGTATTTCTGATCCCAGATAGTAGGAAAAACTCCAAAAAACCAGTTGTCATTATTAGTCATCATCATCACCATCAATAGTAACACTAATGTAGTAGCTTTGACCTATATCCCTGTTACCCGTGGTATTAAAAAAAATCCCACCACCAAACAAACAAATACCAAGCTATTAGACTTTACTCAAATACCACTTGGTTTGAAGCATTTTTCTCTGGAAACTGAATGCACAGCACTACTGAATACAATGCAAAATCAGCTGTCACTGACTGTACTAGGAACTGTATCAGATGTGTAGTCAGCAACAGTTCTAACAGCCTCAACAAAAATTATAGTGGTCACTGTACTATAGTTCCCTGGGACCCTTTGCTCAAGGAGAGGCTTTGAAGCAAAAAGATTACCTCCACAATATTTACCATGTAAATACTGGTTTCACACTTGGATGACTCCTAGCCCAGTACACCCATGCTGTCCAAACAAAAAGAAAAGCTTCCTTGAACCTTAACTCAGTTCACTTATTCTCAATTTTCAAACTAAATTTTAAACCACTGTTCTTTATGCATGTAATGTTTCAATTATTAAAATTTCACATTTTATCAGTATTTTCTTATTTATTTTGGTTTATTTTTCTCCTTTATTGGTGCGATGGAGGGGAGGGAAATAGATTAAGGCCAATTTTAAAAAAACAAAACCGAAACATCAAGTTTGACTCCTAAAAGTCACATTTAGGCACCTAGTGATTTTTATAAGTGCTGAGCTCTTATAAGTGAGGGCAATGGATCTTGATACACTCTTGATTCATGCAACTGTCTCCACTGAAGGCAATGGGAGTTTTGCCTGAGTGCAAACCACAAGATCAGGCAGAGTGGAATTTAATCACTAATGAAATGAGCACTGATTCTATACAATGTCCTTTCCCTGCCCCCCCCCCCCCCCAAATATTTGGAAAGAAGTGGAGGGGGAAGGCTGACTCCCAATGAGACGCAACAACGTTGGGCAGATGGTGTAATACAATGGTCTTCAAACTTTGGGTCGCAGCTCCTCCAGTTGAAGGAAGCTGCTAGTGAGTCATGTGACACTTTATTTACCCAAGCATCCACAGGCATGGCCATTTGCAGCTTCTATTAGCTGTGGTTTGTCATTCTTGGCCAAGGAGAGCTGCAGAATGGCCATGCCTGCAGATACTCAGTGCCTGGAGAGAACAAAAGTATTTTCTGTAGCCTGATTTAAACCAACCATCATACTATCAAACACCTGTTGAATCCCACAGCACAAAATTCTGTTATCTTGTGGTGACTATTTGAAACTTCATTCACTGTTGCTTGTGCTTGTCCCTTTCTCTGGAAAATGTGGGCACTGCAGAGTTTAATGCTTAATACTGTAAAAGCCTTTTGTATCAGAAGGAGGAGATCATAAACTAGCCCAATCCAGTTGATACTTGACCCATTTCAGAGTCTCCCCTAATTCCCCTCCAGTTTGCACAGCTTTGCATGGAGGACAGTACATGGGAGGGTCTCAAAGAGGTTGAATGGCCCAGATTCACAAAGACCAGGACTTTCAGTGGAAGTTATGAGCCTGAATACCTTTGTGGATTTGGGCCAATACTCCCAGCACTGCCTTAGGGTGTGTCTAGACTATTGAGTTTTGTCGACAAAAGTGGACTTTTGTCGACAAAACTATACCTGCGTCTACACTACCGCTGAGTTCCGTCGACATAACGTCGACAGAACTCAGCAGTTTTGTCGACGCTGGTAAACCTCATTTTACGAGGCATAACACCTTCTGTCGACAGAGTTCTGTCGACAGAAGGTGTTATTGCCTATAGGGTTGCGTCTAGACTACAGGGTTTTGTCGACAAAGCAGCTTGCTTTGTCGACAGAACTGAATGTGTCTAGACGCTCTATGTCGACAGAAGTTTTGTCGACAGTATCTGTCGACAAAACTTCCGTCGACAAAACCCTGTAGTCTAGACGTACCCTAAGTAACACAAACACAGATGGGCCTGGGGTGCAGAGCTGGGGCTCTATACTCCTCTCTAGAGAACATTCCAGTAGCAGCCGTTCTGCCCGTCTCTTACCTGGTATAGGCTAACTCTCAGACTGAAGAATGAAAGTTAGCGTACTGGTTAAGGAAACATAGGTGTTGTTAAAATGGACCTGAATAACATGTAGAAGGCAGGCCTTAAAATAATGAGTTATAAGGCCAAAAGGAGTGGAGTAGGGAGGATGCCTGGTTCAAAGAATAACTAATGAAACAAGAAGAACCTTCTGAAAGGAAGGCCTGACTGATAGTGGTGACTGCAGTCAATAAGAGAAAAAGACTTTCTCTTAAAAGGAGCCAATAGATCTTCCCACCCCATCGACCAGCATTATGTGCAATGAAAAAGCTGTCAGTCAGCAGGAATGGCCTAAGGAAGAAAGGAGTTTGTACATTTTATCTGGATTTATCTGCAAATATGGGTGAACTGTCTCCATTTATTTTAGCTGAAGTCAGTAATTGGCAATGGCATCACTTGTTTGTTAAAGGGTATAAAAAGTAAACTCTTAAATGGTTCATTGCTAATACCTGCTTGACCACATTGGAGCCACTAATATGGGCTGAGCACTGTTTGAAAGTATCTTGATCAAATTGTTATAAATGTTTTGTTACTGTTTGGCTGTAGTAAATTGCTTATTATTTAAGCTTTTTAGGCATGTTTAGAGCAATTGTATATGTACTACTTGGCTTTTGGATTCAATACAGGAATGTATGGTTAAATTAGTATTTGGTGGTTTCCCTTATGAATATTTTCAAATATTATTAGTAATTCCAACACAAGGGCTATATAAAGGGAACAGGGATTATTATTCCTTCCTCTCAATGACATGGTTGCACAAAGGCCAGGGACCATCTAGCCTTTAGTAGAGGTCTGAGGCAAATGAAGAAAAACAACATGATGAAATTATTATAGGCCATTTAAATTACCTCATCCACTACTTTTGAAAAGTAATGAAGGGTGGATATCACTTCTTCATCTCCTTTACCCAGGGCAAAATTCTGAAAATAAAAATATACATGGACACTAAGTCAACAAGATCATTATGCAGACACTATGAATCTTACTACATATATATATATACAAATAATATACTAAAGGTCAAACTCTCAAGTCTGGCACTCTCTGGTCCAGCAACATCCGTGGTCCAGCATGACTTTAGTTAGCTGGATAGCCACTTATCATGGGTGTGGCCAAGTTTCCCCACAGTACCTCAATGTTTGGTTACAGCCATTTCAGTGTTCTGTGCTGTTACTTAGCTCTAATTTACCCCTAAATGTCTTCTAAGAGCCCAGCAAGCAGTAGAAGTGTTGGCAATGCTGCTAGACAATATTGACCTCTTGTGTTTTGGCAAATTCTCTGATTCAGAACTGGTCAGGTCCTGAGGGCGCTGGACAAGAGAGGTTCAACCCGTAATTATTCATACATGCCTTTATATTTGAATTTCCTTACCTAAAGGAACAACATCAGATTTATTTAAAAGGAATGATCATATCAAGAACAGGCTGCTCTGCATTATCATGAATTTACTAATGCAAACATTTTGGATAGAATTTTCAAAAGGGCTCAGTGCTGCTCCCATTGAAGACAACAGATGATTTTCCCCAATGGCTTCAGTAGAAGTCGAGTTAGGCCACTGATGAGCCATTCTGAAAATCCTACCCACTGAATAGATTTTTCATATGTACCATATAATCAGCTAAATGTTAAGAGAGAGTTACCCTTGCAGAAACATCACTAGCCATTACCTGCTTTTCATATGCAAGAAGCTGCTTGGAAAGTTGCTGTGTGGCTAGACGCATTTCATTCTAGAAAACAAAAAGGCAGTTTAGTGGAACTAACAAATATATTTAGGGTTACCGTTGTTACTAATGTATTACTGATTGGTAGTGCTTAGAGGCCACAAACAGGATGGGAATATACTCAGACTGCAAGTGATTTCCAAGTCTACAGGCACATGTCTCTACTTTGATTTAAAAAAATCCATTTTTAGAACTGGGTCAGACAGCACAGATGTCTGGGTTTGGAGGCCCTATCACCTATAGTGTCTCAGAGCTCAGGCTCCAGCCTGAGCCCAAACATCTACACTGCAATTTGATAGCCACACAGCTTGGATCCTGCAAGCAGCGGAGGTGCGCCATGTGGCTCTGATTCCGCAATTACTCAAGCACATACTTAACTCTGTGTTTACATGAGAAATCTCAAAGCACTACACCAATGGACAGGACCTACAGCCAGTTGGTGTGAATGAGGCTTAGTCTGCACTCAATTTTGGTATCACTTTGACCAAAAGTATGATTTTTTTTTCCCCACTTAAATAATTAGGGATGTAAATGGTTAACTGGTAAGCATCACTCTTAACAGGTGATGCTCACTCGCTACAGTTAACCAGGGAGAGCTGGAGCAGCACCTTGGGGCCTGCTGCATGAGGCGGGGGTACTCCAGCCCGGCCAGAGCAGCCCCCACCAGTCCCTCATTTAATTGGTTAACTGGTTAAACACAATGTTTAACCGGTTAACTAATTAAATGGGATTTTACATCCCTAGAAATCATTACATTGGCACAGCCTCTAGCATGGGCAGTTATATCAGTTTAAATATGCCTTTTACTAATACAACTTACTTGCCTAAATTCACTGGAATAAGTAGCGACAATATACAGGTTATACACATATCACTGCTTCCACCCAAGGGGTTGAACTGGTATCACTATATGCAGGCTTAAAACTGTGGCAACTGTACCAAACTGCATGCAGAGCAATGCTCAGAGCAATCCCAAAAGGGCAGTGGAACTATTAATATGTGTAAACTTAATTACTTGCATGAATAATAGATGGGTTGCGAGTCTGGGCCCAACTTCAGAAATAAAAAAAGTATAAGTGTTTTGCTGACACATGGCTAGGCTGGGAATAACTCTGACCATGTACACGGAAAAGGTCACAAATTATGCCTTCCCACAGAGTGCACTTAACATTAAAGAAATCACAAGTTACACCTTCCCACTTGCAATCTGCAGTCCAGAGGAGGATCCAATTAATGGGAAAGAACTAGGAAAGAAAAATGAGAAGGTTGGAAAAACAGCACTAGAACAGGTCAAATCAATCTAAGCCAAAGAGGGGAACTTGTTTAGGCACTGGCCAGTCTGAAGCACCACCATTATTTCGGTACTACTAGCAATTTATGATCTGCAGTGCTCCTGTTGCAGACTGAAGCCAGACACTTTTGCACCACAACCTCAAGGATTTCTCACCAATACTCCTTCTCACTCACAGAAACTATGTATGTCTTTAGGTTGCAAACCCTGTTTCTCATGTGTTTGTACAGCACCCAGCTCTACAGGTTCCCAATTCCAATTGGGGCCTTTGAGAGTTACCAGAATATAAATACTTATTGCTAATAACCATAATATAGAAGTTTAGCTGAAAGCCACTCTAGCATCAGGGCTGTTCTCACAGAGATCTTAACTACAAATAGCATTTAAATGGTACTGCAAAAACAATATAAAGCTCCCTCAATCCCATGTTACTCGCAGCATCAACAGGTAAATGTGAGCATGAAACACCCTCACGCTATTTGCCCTCAGGATTCTCCTTTTGGTATCGGAAACCTAGTGATGGGGGAAGGCAGAAGAGGAAGCAAGTTCAGTGAAAGCAGTAGAGTTAATCTACATATCTGTGTAAACAAGAGCAGAATTTCTCCTGAGATATGTAAGAGAGAGACTGAAGATTCCAATCGCAGAAGCTTATCACTAGCCATATAGGCCTGGTTTGTTTTGTTGCCATAAAACTGGTGTAACACACTGGGGAATTGGGTCCTTGCTAGGTCCCTCCTTTCTCCAAGTATCACTCCTCTGAATTATTTCTTTTTTAGATTCAGATTTATTATAAACAATGGGGGAGGGAGCGAAACAAACTAATCTGTGCAAGTCAGAGCAGCCTCTAAGCTTCTAACTTACACCTATGGGCAATAGCTAGTGTAGACACACCTATTCCCTGACAGCTTTTTCTGTCCTTCTGTACATGCATATCTTGGTGTAGGACAGAATCTGAGTGAAAGACTCTAAAAATAGCTTTTACATGGACCCGTGTAGTATCTTAACTCTTCTGCAGAGCCACTCTTTGCAGGGCAGGAAGAGAGGTGAAGTCATGGTCAGCCATCGGAAAAGAAAACAAAGGCCAAATTCTGTCTGACGAGGGTATCTATAAACTTAAACAACAAAAGATCTGGTAGCACTTTATAGACTAACAAAACATGCACATGGTATCATGAGCTTTCGTGGGCACAGCCCACTTCTTCAGATGACCTGAGTTAACGATGTGAATGTGAAGTTGGCTCTCCTAGTTCTGGCCCCTTAGAATATTAAGAAGATGGTTTTTCACAGGTCCTAAGTGATTAGAGCAATGAAGGCAGAGAGGTGTTCTTCTGGGGCATAAACAAGGCTCACAGAGCGTGGTACCCTGGTTTGACTACCATTGCCTGGTCAGTTTTATACAGGTCCCATAGGGAGTATTCATACTCTCGAAAGAAATAGAAAGAACAGGTGGGGTGAACTAAAATTTACACTAGGGGACAGCAGGCACGAGGCCTCCACACACTGAAATTCCATTGAAGCCAGCAGATAGTGTTTTCAATGGTGCATAAGCCTTAGGGTTGGTTGTGTGCACTAATGTGAGCATCAACCTATCAGATTACAGAGAATACTTCTACAGCTTTGGCGCTGTACATGTGAATCCAACTAGGATTGCTAGTGTTTAGTTTCCACACACATGTGCATGCATCCCTATAGCTGACAGACTGTGGCCCTATTCTGGGTATACAATTTTAATTATGACATTTCCAACAAAGAAACAGAAAACATTAGTACACAAATCAAGTTAATCAGACAGGTATAAATGCCATCATATTATCAAGGGATAAGAAGCAGGCAAAACACTTTATGTGGTAATATTGCTTAGTTAAAAATACTTTATTTGGGCAACTCCAGCATAATCCTCCTCCAATTTGTTCTCAGTCAAGTTTCTCTCTGGCACTGCCTTGTGTACCCTTCCTCTCTCACTACCATTATTAAGCTGAAAGGTTTAAATGTTGTTGTTTGCATTGTCTGTATTTACAGACACATGAAACCCCTGGAATCCATTTTAGCAGTTATTAATTTGATTCCATATATGTCTCCCTAGAATACACAAACATGCATTGCTATTATGCTGAACTGGCTAAAAATAACGTGGCAAGCAAGTTGAACAGCAAACGCTATTTGTGTATAAATGTATACACAAATACCGCATACATGGCGCAAAGCAAAATAAGGACTATTATAAAATTCTGTCTAACTGTTCAAATTAATTTCTGTCACAATACCACACAACTCCTTCTGAAATTTCAGAGTTAATCAAACACTTCTGTAGTAGGCAAGCCAGTAAAGACTGATTACTGACTAGAAAACATTCTGAAAGCCTGAGCAGCCTGATAAATCTAAGTGAAGGCAAAATTAATTTTCTTTAGTGCTATACACACAAAGCACATGTATTTTCATTAGCTGATTTTATAGAGGAGGGGAGAACAATCCCCAGGGAAATCATGAACAAATGTTTATTGGGAGAAAGGAAGGTCTGGACAGAAGTGAGTACTAATTAAGCAGTGATGATAATGCATGGATTATTTCATTTAGTTTTGAGCTCAGCTAGCAAGCACTCAGAGCTGTACTGGAAAAATCTTATCAAAGATCTACCAGCATCACATTACATGGATGTGATAAAGACGACAATGCTATGCATCTGAATTCTCTTTACCATGCATACATGAAAAAGGGACTGTCCTATGAGTGGTTTCAACACTTCAGTCAACTTTGCACCTAATTCCAGTTGCATTCAAGTCAATGGCAAATTTCCCATCCATTAATTTTCAGATCTGAACTTCCCAAAGTGTCAGAGTGTTCATATCTGGGCTTCTGATGTGAGTCTAATTTTTATTATTGTCTGACATACTGATGCAAGAATAGGTTCTTCCTCCTTCCAGTTTTTACTGAAAACTCAAAAGCATTCATTCACATGTGATTTGTGAGCTAGACTCCATCATTTCTGAGCACCTTTTCTTTCTAAATGAGTTATGTGGTAAAAACATCAGTCAGATTTAATTAAAATGGGTATTAACCCTAATTATTCAATAGTGGATAATTATATATAATTATCTACATGATTCCAGATAAAAATGCCTATGAAGGATTTAACCAAGCTATACAATTAGCTTTAAAGGCATGGAGGCATCTCATCTTGTCTAGCCCCAGCATGATGAATCTTTCAGTAAAGCTACTTTTTGAGCTTAAGGTCAGAATTTTCAAAACAGTAATGCAAAAAACTACTTTGCATATCAATGGCAGATACAAGGGGGGAAATAGAGACATACACAACCTGTACGCACAACAATGTGCAATAACGTTCTAACTGGTATGCTTTTGTCATACTTAATTGTTCACAGATTGGGAGAGGAAGGACTGCGGTGTGTGTGTCCACAAGGATTTTCCTTCTTCTGGGATCATGGAAAGTATCCAACATTAAAGCCAGGCTCAGTTCAAAATCAATTTGAGGCTCGTATTTTGCCCAGCTTTTATCGCCTCTTTCTGAAGCACTAAGCTGTCTGGCAGTCAGGAAAATGCTACTCTTGTAATGATACAACATTGCAGGGAGAATGCTTCAGAAATTAAGATTCCAATGCTAGAGGATGCTGAGATCCCCTAGTCTTCAGAGGGATGAGCAGCTCACAGGATCTGGCTATTTTATAGCTTTCCCTGTGTAGCTGATCCACAATGGCCT